TTCATCTTTTCTTCTTTGTTTACATTCATATTTTCTTCTTGTTCATGCATATACTGTCAGTGATGAACTCAGAAGTAGCTTAAAACAGGGTGGGAGGATGCCAGCAGTCTCTTACAATTTGGGAAAGTTCTAAATGTGCAGAAATTGTGCATTTGAAATGAAACTATTATTTCACTCAATAACAGAACAGCTCACTAGTGTCTGGCTTTCTCTTTGCTTTTTCTCCCACCATTTCTCAAAATATGGAATACTTTCTACTTTGGACCTTCTTGAAATCTCATGTAGACTGACAACCATGATACAGAGCTGATCAAATCCTACTGAAATAAATGTTACTAGTATCATCTGCCAGTGTTAGGATTACATATGCATAGGATGGGGAAAGGAAAGCCTGATGCAGAAGTTAGACTGATGCCTGTGAAACAAGCCCATTTATACAGACAGATAATGCATAGTTGCGTACATTTAATAGTGACGTGACAAGTGGTATGAATGATCCCAACTGGAATCAAGACGACAGCTCTCAGTTTTAGAGAGGTGATGGTGTGGCACAGCTTTCCAAAATAATAATGGGGAGCCACAATCAAATCATTTTTTTATGAGGAACTTAAATTCATTAAAGGAATTGTGTGAAATACTGCTTGAAATAGAACAAGGACCCAGAATGCTTGTTTCAGCCATGAGTTCTTATTTTACGTGTGCATGAGCAGTGCTTGAATTGACACTTACTGATGGAAATTAATTAATTGTATCTGCTAAAGAAAACAGCTCCTAGGGGGCACAGGAAACTTCCTTCCAGCCTTTTGTAATTGTGATCAGGGATACTTGGATCGTTAATCAGGTTTTAACTTATGAAGAATTTACTCTCCTGCAAAGGTGTGTTACATAAATGGGAAGTTCTGTCAAGTTGCATTCGCCGCAGTGTAGACATCAGGTTGCATCACATGAATGCTTTGGCCCCACCTCTGATGACTCATTCTTCTATGTAAAAAGTTCAGCGACTTCTCCTCTATTCATCCATCTTAGCATGACAAAACCCACTTCAAATTAATGTTTCAGCTTTGCACCCCATCTATGACATTTTCAGTGGTCAATCAGTATCTCCTCTCTTTTACACTTTCCTCAGGTGAACTATTTACATAAATACAATCCTGTAAACTAGCTTTGTCACCCAAAAGTTTTGCTACCCAGGACACATGGTGCCTGGGGCCTTACTGCTTTTTTAGCACTATGAATCCCATGATGCTTAGGTGTTTGGTTGAATGCAGAAGGACAGTCCTCTTGGCCTTAATGCCTGATGGCCTTTTCCTCACTTCTTACAGGTTGTCCAAGCACACCCAGCAGTCTTACTGTGCTTGAACAGATGAAGAAACTCCAAGAAATGGTGAGCCAAAAAACCAAGCTGGAGATCGGGGATGTTGTCAGGGTCAGAGGTCACATCCGAATTTACAGGCAACAAAGAGAAATTCAGGCGTCATGTTTTTGTGAGTGTTATGGATCTGTGACATATTAACTCTGCATTTGTGAGAAGATATAAATTCATTGAATAATTTCCACTTTATTTGCTGGCATCTTATTTTTCTGAAGAGATTTTCATCTGTATGTCTTTATTTCAATTTTAGAAGTGTAAGGTTAGAAGACACACTTAATGTCTGGGACTAGATTGCCTGTAAATGAGGTATTCCTGGAAAATCTGTAAAAGATTACTAGCATGCATACAAGAACACTGTGCAGATACAGTGGTCAAGTATCTGAGAGTGACTTGTTCTTCTGTTTTCTTTGTGTTGAAGTAGAACAGCCAAAGCCCATGGGAAGGGAGTTGGTGACATTTTACGTCACGCTTCAAGAGCGTTAGCCGCTTTGGAGAAGCGATTGCTGTTTGTCGCAGCCTGTATAATCCATTCCATGGGCAGCCAGCAGCATATGGGCACATTGTACCACTGGAGCCAAGGTTCTCCTGAACTCTCTGGCTCTGCAGAATGACTGAGAAGTGTTCCTCACCCTCAGTCACTTGGGCGCAGATTTGTATGCAGGTGCTGCCCCTGTATCTGACAGCTCTTTGGGCAGCAGCGTTCTGCAGACCACTGTTTAAACCCTAGAAGCTTCCAGTTACATACTTTCTTCTCTCCTCTGTGCTGTTGTGTAAGAGTTTTCTCCGGTGAAATCTTTCAGAGACAATACTGAAATAATTCCTTTGGGGTGGGGAAGCCCGTTTTTTAAAACCCCTGTCTAGCTTAGATAAAAAGTCTAGATTTTTCAGCTCTAGCTAAAATCTGGGAGGGAATTCAACCTTCCTTTCCAGACAGAAGATTTATGAATCTATAACCCATTTAAGGGCTGGTAATAGTACCATTGTTTCATTAAAGGAGAGCCACAGAATTCAAATAGCCTCTAAATTGCTTTCACATTGGCCCAAATAAAGCTCCTTACTATGTGTTAACTTCATCTAATAGATAAAGACTGCTGAAAGGCAAAATAGAGATCATAAATTCCAGTTAAGTAAGTTGTCAGACAAAAGCATAGTCTGCAATGCACCACAACAGGTCATTTACCTCCCTGTAAACTGCGAAAGCAGGAGTGGCCTTTGTGGTTTTGTTTTTAGAAAAACAAGAGTGAACAAAATTTGCCAATTTAATACTGGCACACGAAGCTCTGTTACGCTGCCTCAGGTATACTTGCTTAAAAGATTGCTATGACAGTCCTGGCCAAGTATGTGTGTTCTTTATGCTGCTCCAGATAAAGTGGATGATCCTGTGTGTGATGTTCAGATTTCAAGAATGCTGGAGCTCCCCTGTCTCTACAGAGAAGTTTACGATAAACCTTTCCAAGGCCCTGAGGAGGAACAGAGGTAAATGCAGTATCCAGACTGGTCTTGGAGGAAAGTGTGGGATTTTATCATCATTTATTTGTTATTGTAATAACTGTGGAGAAAGATAGAACAGGGCCCAACTCTGCACAAGTGTATAGTAGCAGCCTGCTTTCTCCCAAATAACTGGTAATCCATACAGATGAGATACCTGTCCATAATCTGAGAAAAGAAATACAATGCTGAACCAAACTGAATATTAGGAAGGGAGTAAAATACTGTGTACAGACCTCTTGCATCCAGTAAAAAAATCTGAGGTTTTGAGTGAGATTTGGGTGTGAGGTCAACAGATTAGGTGGAGGAGTGTCCTTACCTTTTGTTTTATGCATAAGGATAAGGAACTTTTCCATCAAAATACTCTCAGCTTCTGCTGCCCTTGTCATCGTCAAGTCACAAATACATAACCTCAATAAAATGAGTCAACCACCAATTCCTGTATTCAGTTTAAGGGTAGCTGGATGCTTATTGGCAGGTCTGATGCATGAGGGTGGTTTCAGAGACTGGAGATCTTAAAATCACGGCACTGTTACAGCAAATGGTTGAAGAGGAATAGTCGGATGTTTATTGCATATAAAAATGGTTTTAATTAAGGGTTTAAATTCAGATTCTTTAAGGACAGCGATTACTTTTTCTAGGTGTGAAAGGATGAATTATTTGGCTGTATAACTTTGGTTTTTTACCCTGATTCCAGTGTTCTAGAGCACAGTTGCTGTTAATTCTTTTCTTGCCTTTTGACCTTTGAAAGCCAGCCTAGCAGGCTAACTTTAGGTAATTGTTCTAAAAAATGTTAGTAGTATATTTCTTGCCTTTTGACATGTTCTATGTATCCTTGTAGTGGCCTGGAGGGTCAGAATTTCTCAATCAATATGCTGCATGAGAAAGTGAAAGGCTTTCTGTTAGAAAACAAAATTCAGACCTTTTACCAACAGGAGTTGGAAACAATTGATACTCTGGTGTCACTGGCTGGTGCGCATGTACCCAGGGGGTGTCAGGAGGTGAGTGAATGTAACTTTCAGGTTTTTAGTGGGGGGAAGCAATACCATGTACATTTTTTTAAGTATAAACCACCAGATAAGAGACTGGTGCCTTCAGAGGATTGAAAAACCACAAGTGCTATAGCTTTATGCATGAATTATTTACAGAGCTTCAGGAAACCTTGTCACTTGAGACATATAAAACTGTACTGAAGAAAGCCATATGAGAAAAATCTGTTAAGGGTGATCTTATATTAGAGCTGAGTAAGCTTACAGCCTGCAACAGGCACTAACTGACCTGTGTGCGAATAGTGGTGGTATCAGAAAAGGAGACCCTTTTAAGGTGCTTGAGCTGTCTGGGACAGATGTTTCAGATCCTGAATTTGACCAGGAGAAGGGAGCACAAAGTCTTTGTCTTGTTTCTCATTTGAAGCTCAATACATTAAAAGAGATGTAGTTTTCAAAAGGAGATTATAATGAGTGGATGAACTGTGCTCACTGCTACGTGTTTCTCTTGTTGGAAATCTCTAGTTGTGAAAGGCCATGATTGAAAGGATCAGAAGGTGGGATTTAAGTGAAATGAGTTTACATTCAGTTGCACATAACCAAACTGTTAGGAAACTTTCCAGTGAGATAGTATGCTCTTGATCAACTGCAGAATGGGAAATAGAACAGAAAACACTTTGTAAAATGGCTTTATATTACTCTGTGTTATTTGGATAAATTACAGACCAGGTTCTCAACTGGTGTGAGGTCGTACATTTCTGCAAAAGTAACGGTGTTTTGGCTTTTACCGTGTTACCAATGGCAACTGAAACTTAAACTAGAGCGTTGTGACTCACTTGTTTACTTTTGGGTTTTCTGTGGGGAAATAAATCCGTTGCAGTCATTTTCACTGCCTGATTATGATATGCACTGTAAAGTTAGGTGCTGTGTTACGTTAACATCTGATGTTTGTTTAATTTAAAAAAAAAAAAACAAAACCAACCAAAAAACAAAAACAAAACAAAAACAAACAAACAAACTACTCCCTTGTATATGAGGTCAAATAATAATGAAAATATTCTTGTTGGCCTTGTTGAACTGCTTCTGATAGCTGCCTTTTGATAGCTGTTTCTTTGATTTTTATTAAAGACTTTTTTGTTGTTTGCTTTAAGGCAAGCATGGATTTAAATAATAACAGGAGCTACTCTCATTTTTGACATAAAATTTTTATACTAGAATATCCAACATGGAACAGGGTATTTTTTTCTAAACTAGCTGGAACAGTATTAAAAGTTCCCAAATACTTTATGTTAAAGGGCGTAGTGGTCATTGTGACTAATACTGAAAGCTTTCATCTTTTGAAGTTTCAGCATTTATAGAAAGATCAAGATGAATAACTTGCAAAGCCACTTAAAGTAGGAACTGGTGCAGAACAAACAAAGAAAAGCACCAAAAAAAAACCCCAACCAAAAAACCCAAACCAGCAAAAACAATGTAGCGTCAGTGTTGTTAGCAGTCATGAGGAGCTGTCATAATAATTAATAGTTGCTTCTGACCCTGATGCCAGGGTGTGAGTGTATGTCCCAGGAATCTGGGCACACAGATGCTTATTTAGAAATTGCAGTTCTGCCTGTTACCCTTTGGTATTAATTCCTTGCAAAGAGGCTTATATATCTTTGCATAAGAAAGAACCTGCAGTTGTCAAGTGACCTGCATGCCTTATGAGCAGCACCTAGTAATGCTCTGGAAATGCATTTCGTGGTTCCTCTGCTCTGTCTCTTGAAAGTGTCACTTCTCATAATTGGCGAAGGGTCAAGTACCCAGTTTGATCCACAAAACTAAGTGTAATAGAACTGACTTCTGTCCCTCTTCCTTTCTATTCCCTTCTGTAGTCCTCTGTTTTGCATTGCCATCAAACCGAAAGGAGAAAGGGTGCTGCTAATGTGGAACGGTGTGATTTCATGTGTATTCAGCAAGGCAGGAGCTAGATAAGTGGACCAAACTAATTAGACCACACCACAATATACATGATACTTCACTTCTTGCACTTTTCCTAGATGTGAAAGGAGGAGTTATTTGGCTGTATAACTGAGGTGGGGGTTTTTTTTAATCCTAATTCCAGTGTTCTGGAGCACAGTTGCTGTTAAATTCTTTTCTTGCCTCTCTCTTCCTTTCTCTGTGATCCTAGGAGATATGGTGCACCCCCTTCACCTCTTTCCCAACTTTCAAAGTCCTCGCACAGTGTTCATCATAGTGGGAGGACATCTCCCCATGGAGTATTTTCTCCAAGGAGGTGGTGAGCTGCTATGGAGTCACTGGCAGTGGAGCAGAGCAGGGGGTGAAGAAGGAAGAGAGGTAGCTGAGATAGCTTGAGGTAGGCAGCATCTCTCTGTTACTTTTCAGCATTACAGTACCTGAGCCCTGTCCACATCCCATACATGTCCTACAATACCTAGTTCCAGGCCTGATGGCCTCCCCAGCAATGCAGTCTTCTGGCTTTCAAGAATAAATTTCCCTCTAGCAGATGCACATGGCAGAATTCAAATCATGTCCTCTGCTTGGTAATATACAAGGGAACCTTTAATTTTATAGTGTATGGATGATGGGTAAGAGAATTGGAAGGCCTGGTGGTTTTAAAAATATTTTAAAATTAACAAATCTGTTAGGATTTTTAAAACCAGTGGAGGTTTATTTCACATAACCAGTGCTGCCTCTATCCCTAAGCTGTAGCCTTTCCCTTATCCCTTAAAACAAAAGACTTTTGAGACTGGAGAGGTGGGTACCACAGGAAAGACTATAAGCAAAAAACAGAAAAAGTAATCTTGTGGTTAGAGAACCTAAAGAGTGTACTTGCTGGACTTAGGCAATTATGTTTGGCAAATGGACAAGCCTTTGGTTCCTTTTTTTTAAAGAAAACTACATGTGAACTTGATCCATCCAGTTTCTCAACTGGATTAAATATGACTTGTAACCAGCCAGTTTGGATTAACCGTTTTTGTGCCCTTCTTCCATGCGTGTGCTGTTTTAGTATTACCATTCCAGTTTGTGTATGTCACTAGCTTGAACACGTAACTTGGGTTGTGCTTTCCAGACTCTGCTGTTTGTATTTCTCTTGGTTTGAGTGCTATCTCAAGGTCAGCAATGACAAGTAGTTAAGGCAGGGAGGTTTACAGTGTGTTCATACTTACTGTATATGCCCTGCACATTGTACTGTAGGTATAACATAGTGCATTATACATTCTTGATGTTATGTGCTTGTCTTCCTGACTCTTGAGGAAGCTTCACTGCTACTTTAAATATGTATATTGCAAAGTTTATTATAGGACTTCAGGACTGACATGTCCAGAATCACTATTACTGAAATTGTCACCTGTCTAAGCTAAGGATTAAACACTGTGTGAGAAAAGGGCAATTCCATGAGTAGAATCACGTGTGTGGTTATACCAGGAAACTTTAACACCATCAGGGTGTGTTGTGATTCATAATGAGCCAAAGGTTACATACTTTCAGCGTTTTGAACAGACTGCCTAATTCCTGTACCACTTCATTCTTTGACCTATTATTGATTGTACAGAGTTTGTCTTGTTTTAAAGATCTGAGAATAACCGGTTGCACAACACCAGCCCACTCTAGCTGTGTGAGACCCATCAGATGGAATATGTTGATTAAAATACCAGCTTCATTCTGGAGACGCGGATTCTTCTGTTGGCTTTGCTTGGCTGGTCTTGGGAGGGAGGGTAGTGATGGCAAAATTGTTGTTGTAATAGCTGCTTCTGTCTCTGGAGGGGGGCAGAACATGTTTTGCAAAAGTGGTGAATGATTTTTGGATGCTTCTGTGTTTGCATGTACAGCTTCATTTATTTGAAAAGGACCTGGTTTGGGAGAGGGGAAAACCCCTGCTGTCAGCACATCAGGGAACCTGAAACTGTGCACCCTGAAATTAAGGCATGCCAAAGGAGGGCACTTTGCAAACCAGGGTGTGAACATTGTGAGAGGTAAACTTAAAGTCTAGATTCACATCTTGCTGGTGCTTTGGATCAACAGTTAAACACCTGGATATCTGCATTTCTCAGATGAAAAGCTTTGTAAAAGTAAAGTGACTCAGAAGGAACTACGTTAATGGCTACAATACATCTTTATAACTGTTGAAATGCAAGCATTTTTCAATCTCTTCCTGAAATAAAAGCAGGGATGTGAAATCACACAGGATTTCAGACTCCTAGATTTCTTCTCTCTGTGTATAGCCCCGTGTTCAGT